TCGGATTCATTGTGCTTTCCTTGGTCGTGAAGCACCATAGCCAGGTCTCCGACACTTCTCAGAGTGTCCGGGTGGTCTGGTCCATGAATCTTCTCATACCCCTTCAGTGCACGACGGTTCATCATCTCTGCTTCGCTATAATTTCCTCGACTTTTCAGCTGAGCAGCCAGGTTGTTGGCACTTTTCAGGGTGTCCGGGTGGTCTGGTCCAAGAATTTCCTCACGCCCCTCTAGTGCACGTCGATGCATCGTCTCGGATTCACTGTACTTACCCCGGTATCGTAATACGATACCCAGGTATTCGACAGCCTCGAGGGCGATGGGATTATTTTGACCAAATGATACTTCAATATCCACTAATAAGTCCCGCAATATCTTCTCGGCCACTTCTGCTTTTCCTTGATATGCAATGACCGCCCCTAGCAGTATAGTCCTTCTCTGACCCTGCTCATCCCAGCCATACTCTTTACTCTCATCTCGTAGCGCAATACATCGACGGAATTGAATTTCTGCGTCATTGTAGAAACTCATTTCTAGAAAATATTGTCCTAGGCGAAAACATAGCTCCTCGGCAATGGGATCCCTTGAATCTTTGGTCACTGCAAGTGCATGCGGAATGTATGCAGAACCAACGTATCCCCGCCCGTCCGCACCCTCAGGAAACAACCTTGCAACCACTCCAAGAGACTTGGCCCTCCACTGATCCAACGCGTCTGTTGGTAAATACACCTGGAGAGACAGTTGGACCAAACGGTGGAGCTCGTAAAACGTCTTGTCCTTACATTCGGTCGCCGTAATTAGCGAAAATCCTAATAGTTTCCCAATGGCCCGGCGAAACTCAATTGGATCATCCATCCCTTCCAAACCGCATTTACTCAATAACTCCTCGGGGATGTTCTGACGATCAAAGAATGCAATCAGACGCAGGAGATCGGCCGCTAGGGGCATCTGGACTGTGATTCGGTTAAAGGTGATAAAGTACGTAGCTAGGATGCTTTCGGTCATATCCGCCTCTCGTTGGATATCACAAAATGGTTGTGAAAGCAGTCTCTTCGCATGATCGTCGCTCTCCCGAAACATAGTCCAGTAAACGAAAGGCGGTGTCCGAGTTTCGGTCATGAAGGCTGCTGCACCCACGATAGCCAGCGGGACGTGATGTATGGAACCCAGGATCATTGTGATTGCTGCATTGTCTTCCTCACTCAAATTGTTCCAGCTACTAAAACGCTTTGAAAACATCGCCTGCGCTTCATCCTCGTCCATTTTTCCGACCTCGATTCTTTCGCAATCCTGCCAGGATGCGACCCGGAGACATCTAGTGGTGAATATTAGGGTACCCCTTTGGCCCTGCGGTAAGAATTTGGAGATGGGACCGTTATTCCCGATAAAGTCCTCCTCGTTGTCGGCGTTATCAATTACCAGTACCCAGTCGCCACTGTCCGGACCTTCAAACCACCTCTTTATACTCGCGAGGAATTGTTCTTGGTCCCCCTCGGCACTGGCTGGAAGAATTCGAACGTATTCTGCAACAGCTCTGAAACCCTCAATAAACTTTACTACCCCACTCCCCTGCACCCAGAAGACATCACTATCGCTCTTGCTCGCAAGCCGATAAACGTATTCGAGGGCGATCTGGGTTTTCCTAAACAATGTTAGTAAATCCCCGAAATAGGGATAATGAATACATACCCAGATCCGCCTAATCCATGAAGCGCGATCCGGCGGTGGCCGTTACCCTTGGAAAGCGTCTCTACCGATTCAATGAGAGCTTTACGGCCTGTGAACTTGCTGTTTCTGCGATAGGGGATTACCCGATAAGGCCGAGGAGCCCCTTCTAGTTGTAACAACAGATCAGCCACTTGCCGGAAGTCGCTCGGGAAAGTTTGTAATACCTCTACCTTCAGCTCTAAGCACACATCCATGATATATCCGTCCGAAACTGGTAATGTTGGTTACGTTATTATTATCACTACCAAAAACATTATAATCGCCTGAATTCCCGCTGCAGTTCCCGCTGATATTGGCTTGCATTTTTCTATGAGGGTTATTAGGCTGCTGCTTCTTGTTTTTGAAATCACAGGCGTTGAAGGAAAGAGGGACCACTGACCACCAACTGCACGACAAGTATTCGGCTCACTGTAGGACAGTGTTCGGGGGTCAGATAGGAAAGCAACAATATGTCGCTCGCGGATCTGAAGCGGGAAAGGTAGCGCTAACCGAGGCGATTTCAAAATCCCCCCGCTAGACCTAAAACAAGCCAATAAGCAGGATACGGCAGAATGAGTAGCAAAGGACCCTACTTTGGATGTGGAGACGAATTATTCCGTCCTTTTTTTGACACCGCTATAAGTTGTAATCCCAGCTCGAGCTAGGTGTATTGAGTAGTGCTGAGAGATTTGGCGAAAGGACACGGAATGGGTATCGGAGCGATTGCGTCTCTGGATACCGGCGAGGATTTGGCCAGAAATAGGTCCTAACCTAGCATCTCGCGCTGCGGGGAACTCGGGAAAAGCAAACATAATAGTATTGTTACTCCAGAGCTAGGCCTCCGGGGGGCTGCGAAATGTACTCGTACTGTACCGATACCGGTAATTGGTTGGAATCCTGCCAAGGTCTGGACAGCCCCACACTTGGTGTAGGTCTCAATGCGCCGCGGTTGTCACGAGGCGGTGGGTTGCGCCATGCAGCGATCCCCTAACTGGAGCGCATTCCCGACTAAATAGTGCCGGCGTAGAATGGAGATCTTCGGCCTGTCTTTGGAAGAAGACTTGGTCTCTTACCATACGAGACCACCTTCTTTTCTTGATAGTCTAAAAGGATTCTCTATCCTCAAGATGAAACAAGCACATGACCCTAAAATCGATCGGATATGATATCTAAACTCCCACCTGGCACATAAAACTCTGAGTAGGCAGGATGCAACACTCCTGCATTCCACCGATCATAATGTTGTGATGCCCTCGAAAGCCAGCCACCCCGTGTCTGCATCCGCGAGGCGACTGGGCGCATCTGTGGGAATTTCCAGGGTAATCGGAACGAGTACTTGTATCAAAGCTCGCACGAGGGTGATGCAATGAAGGTAACCAATTAGTAAATTGCAAGCGAACCACATGTGGCAACATAAATTATCATCCTATGCGAAGTTCCCCCCCCCATATCCAACCGAGAATTTCGGGCGAATACGGTACCGTGCTGTACTAAACACCAGAGCTGGTATGATACGAGCAATCATGGTGATCGGTTATCCAATCCTGCCATCGAGCATATGTTTCTCACATACATCCCCGGACCTTGATATCTGAGCTGAGGGGGGCATGACCTTCGAATCTTTACAAAACTTGGCTAGCATGAAAATATGCCAGGACACTTCTTGCTCGCTGCCTGGGACCGTCCATCCATCACCTAGGAATTCTGGTGCTTGCATCGAGCGATTCTTTGCTGCACCGGTAAACTGGAGCAACCAATTCACATGATAAGTACTGTACAAGTACAGTACAAAGCCATTAGTCCAAAAGCCTTCCTCCAAAATGCACATATCACCACTCGAGCAGAAAATCCATTGCCGAATTTTTAAATGTGAAACTGATGCTTGGAAGAGTGCCAGGCCTGTGAACGCCCCTCACAGGATAAAGATTCCGCCGGGATTATTATGATACATTGGATTAAAAGTTGGAAGATAGCAAACATAGGTACTGTTGATGGAAAACCATGGCACTAGGCAACCCTCTCCAGCCGCGACCACGACCGGTTAATGAAGCCTATTTACCACTAATCACTGTGCAGATACGAATGCGAGAGAGTCGAGACTCGAGCAATGAGGCAGAGAAGGTCTCCGGTAATCGAAACCGGGGGCGATAAGGGGTGGGTGGTGGAACTGGGGTTTTGGAAAACTGGGATTCAAGGAGACAGCTGTTGAAGTCTTGGTAAGAAATGGAACAGTAATAGGAAGAGGCTCAGTGAATTACCGGAAATTCCAGATCACGCAGTAATCATATCAGCGAATTTGAGTCCATCATGCCTATTACCTCGGGGGAACATCTAGAAATACTAGAGGATTTCAAGATATTCGGGGGGGGGGTCTAACACCAAGGGTCGCTGCTTTCGGGGTGCCTTGGCCTTAAAGTACTATCCAGTATTCCTATGAAATTGGCATGTATAATTCATGATTTCTTTTTCCGCAAGGGGTTCTATCACACAACCCGCCTACTAATTGGGAAACGAGTCCTCTCCTGTGACCATTCTTTGATTCACCCCCCCTCTTCCATGCAACATTGGTGTGGGTACGATTCTAAGTAAAATACCGCGGGTGACCGGAGAGTCAGGGATTGCGATAAAAGTGTCAAAGTTTCTTCCTAGTTAGAATAACTTTCATGCCAAATTCATTCTTTAATTTCCTATGAGGGTAGAACTGTCAGGACTCTAGAATGCCTGGCTGTCCGGTCTTCCACGTCCATAGTATATTACCCTAGTATCACTAAATCAGGTTACACACTCCAAAACCCATAAGTCAGAAAATACCCTACTATGGGCAGACCCATCTCGTAATCAGACTCAAGCCAAAAATCGCTACCAAAGGGCCTACCGGCACTTACGCAGATCAACTCCGTCCGGGACTAATGCGCCTTCCCATCTCGAGACCATCCTCCCAAAATCCACCAAGTAATCTATTCCTCCAATCCCACTGACATAATTATCGCGCTGGAAGAATAAATTATCCAAACAAGCCGGAGGACCCTATACCTGATTTAAAACTCGATGAACAAGCACCGAATTTACACCATAGTTGAAGCACGTATGGGAGTCCAAATATCCTTTCCTCCCCCTAAACTGACAATTAGGGTTCATTGAAGTGTCACGCAATGGGCACAGTTCCCTTGTCCTCCCCGTGGGTTCGATGGCCAGCAGTATGCTCGGCACCCGCAGGCATCGGGCGTGGATTGAATGAAACATCACGACATCTTAACCGTGGCGAAGGGGAGCATAGCACTTTTACTGTAACTGGTCCTCTCACACCCGAGACAGACAGATCTTTCTCAATACACTAGCCGGCAGATCATCGTCTATAACCCCTCGCACTGTCCTTGGTCTCTCAGCAGCACGGGTGGCTTGCTAACCCTTGTTAGGGTGTTTCAGTGGTTCGTTAGCCTGGTAGGTAACGTGCGTTGTGTATTTATATTTATGGAACTTGGTTAAACGGTGTTCGACGAGTGACTTCTTGTGATTATGAATTGTAAAGTACTGAATACAACGAACTTACCGGGTGGGAAGGCACACTATTTCAAATTAAACATGAGACATTGCACAGTTACAAGAGAAAAGAGGCGGTAGAAAATATAATTCAAAAGGGGGGTAAAAATGCCCAACACTTCCTCCGTCCTACACTTCAACGAATCGCCACCGATGGACTCTAGTTCGTCGTTCTTCCTAGTTCCATCCGGCACCCAATCGATCGCCCATATATCCATACGGCCCTCCACCCCAGTAGAAACCAGCATCCCACGGCTGTCACTTTTGTTTTCCGCCCAACTACCTGCAATATGAATAATTACTTTTCCAGGATGTTGCCCATGAGGAAGACTGCTCTCCTCCGCGAATAATGAACAAGGCGGCGAGCAAATTGTGGACGCTTATCCCCGAGTATCCTGGAGGCGTCTGCCATGCACCCCGGTCCACCGTTTCTGAATCATCACACTCTCATTGTAGTCGCAGCAGCGTAGCAAGGTTGTAGGCACTTGCTAGGGTGGAAGGGTGGTCTGGTCCAAGGATCGTTCCGTACCCCCCCAGTGCACGCCAATTCGCCGCCTCTGAGCCACTGTACTTTCCTTGGTATCGCAGTAGAAGAGAGCCTTGTTAGGGCATCAGGGTGGTCTGGTCCAAAAATCTTCCCTTGAACCTCCAGTACACGCCGATACATCCTCTCTGATTCGTTGTACTTTCCCCGGTATCGTGGGGCTATTTTTAGGCAGTGGATGGCTTCCAAGGCAATGGGATTATCTGGGCCCAACCCACTCCCCATATCCTCTATCAAATCCCTGCAGATCCTCTCCGCTACTTCAGTCTTCCTTGATATGCGTTTGCTATCCCCAGGAGTGTAGCCCTCCTCGGACCTTCCTCAGCCCAGTCATACTTTTTTCTCTCCTACTGAAGGTCAATACATCGGCGGAATTGAACTTCTGCGTCATTGTGGAATCCCATGTCTAGAAAGTGGTGTCCCAGGCGAAAACAAAGTGCTTCGGCAATTGGATCAATTGAGTCATTGATTAAACCCAAGATCATATGGAATGTATGCTGAACTGCCATATCTCCCTGTGCTCTTATCCCTGGGGAACACACTTGAAACCACTCTTAGCGTATTGGCCCTCCATCGGTCCAACACTTCTGTCGGTAAATACACCGGTAAATACACCTGTACGGACAGTTGGACCAGACCGTGAAGCTCGTCAAATGGCTTGTCCTCGCATTGGACGGTCGGAACTAGCGAAAATCCCAATACTTTTGGGGTGGCCCGACGAAACTCCATTGGATCATCCATCCCTTCCGAACCATATTGACTCAAAAGCTCTTCGGGTATGTTCTGACCATCAAAGAAGCCAATTAGATGTGGAAGATCCACTGCTAGGGGCATTTGCAGTGTAATCCGGTTAAAGGTGACAAAGTAGGTTTCTAGGATGCTTTCGGCCATGTCAGCCTCTCGCTGGATATCACAAAATGGCTGTGAAAGTTGTCTCTTCGCATGCTCGTTGCTTCCGCGAGAAATAGTCCAGTAAGTGGAAGGCGGGGTCTGGGTTTCGCTCATGAAGGCTGCCGACCCACGATAGCCAGCGAGATGTGATGTACGGAGTCCAGGATCATTGTGATCGCCTCTCTTTCTTCATCCCCCGACCCGTTCAAGCTACTGAAGCACTTCGAACACAACGCCTGGGCTTCATACTTCTCCACCTTTCCGGCCTCGATCCTCTCACAATCCTGCCAGGAAGCAACCCGGAGAGATTTGGTGGTGAATATTAGAGTCTCCTGAGGCCCTTGTGGTACAAATTTTGGAGATTGGACCGGAGTTGCCAATAAAGTCCTCCTCGTTATCGGCGTTATCGATAACCAGTACCCAATCACCACTATCGAGACCTTCAAACCACTCCCCTACACCTGCCAGGAATTTCTCCTTGTCTGTCTCTGCCGTGGGTAGAGGAATTCGAACATGTTGCGCAATAACTCGGAAACCCTCAATAAATTTTAATACACCACTCCCCTGCACCCAGAAAACATCACTATCGCTCTCGCTTGCGCGCTGATAAACGTATTCGAGTGCAATCTGAGTTTTCCTAAACAATGTTAGTAAACCCCCGGGATAAGAATAACGAATACATACCCACAACCGCCTAATCCGTGAAGCGCAATGCGGTGGTGACAGTCACCCTGGGAAAGTTCCTTTATCGACTCAATGAGGTGTTTACGGCCGGTGAACTTGCTGTTTCTGCGATAGGGAATTGCCCGGTAAGGCCTCGATGGTTCTTCTAGTTGTAACAAGGGATTAGCGATTCGCCGGAAGTCACCCGGGAAAGCTGGCGATACCTCGCCCCCCAGCTCCCAGCACACACCCATGATATATCTGTCCGAAATTGGTAATGTTATTCAGGTTGTTATTATTACCGAAAAAATTCTCATGCCCCGAATTCCCGTTGAAGTCTCCTCTGATATGGGCTTGCATTTCTCTGCTGATATTATTAGGCTGGTGTTTATTGTTTTTGGAATAACGGACGTTGAAGGGAAGAGGAGCCCACTGATCCATCAACGACACTGGTATCTATATTACCGTAGGGCTGTTTTTGAAGGTCGGATAGAAGAGTGATGAGATGTCGCTAATGTATGTGAAGCGGGAATGGTGGCCTATATGTCGGCAAAAAAGGCTATTCAAGATCGCTGCCCTAGCCTGGAAACATGTCAGTATGGAGGATAAGGTAGAGCGAGTAGCCGAGAACCCAACACTGGATACGGAGATAAATGACTCCCTCGTTTTGAGGCAGCTATGATGGGTTGTAATCTTAGCTCATGCTACCGGAACTCGGTGTGGCCGAAATACTTGGCGAAGGGATACTAGTATTGTACTGAATGGGTATCGGTATTAGAGTGATGGCGTCTCGGGGCGGCTAGGCGGAGATTCAAATTCAGACCCAGTGATAAGCAGCCCACCCTAGCAACCCCCCCGCGGAAGACCCGAAGAAAAGTGAACAATAGGTATTGTGGGCCCATAACGGTTGCTAGCCCTCCTCAGATTCTGTAAACGTATGATACGAGTATTGATAATTGATTAGAATGCATTGTGGTTTTCAGGGTCTGGCATTTGGTGCAAGTCACGTTACACGACCGGAGTGATGAGGCGGCAAGCCACACCAAACAAAAACCTCCTAACCGCAAAACATTTTCCTGCATCTTGCCAGCTGCGGTGGCTGTGCATTTCGGGATACAGGCTCCCCGTCAGCTGGGAGTACTGAGAATACAAATCCGAGGTTACTGCCACCGATCACTTGCACCAAATTCCACCGATAGGGGAACGGAGCTATTCCGCCCACCCATAGTAAAAGGATGCCCATCTTCAAGAGGAAGCAAGCGCAAGATCCTACCCTAGGATCCATCAGATATCCAAAATTCGAGCTGACAAGTAAAACAGCGGAAATGGACTATCATAGACACAATACCAGTACACCTACACCGTAATATCATAATTAGGGAGATTCAAAGCTCTCAGTACGGTACGCTGCGAACCGGGTACGCAGTATACCGCGCAAATACATACTGCTTGAATAAACCGACCATACCTCTGTACTGGCGTGCTGTATCCCTCCTTCCGAGAAGGTTCGGAGCGTACCGTAATTTCCGAAAAAAAATACACCTCTACTGAAACACCTGTGTCTTCCGTGTACCGAGAGCTTTGAATCTCCCTATTTGTGGTGCCAGTGGAGCGCTCGCCGACCTGAGTCTGCACAGACAAGGGCGGTGGGCACACCTGTGGGAGCCCCGAGGGAAGTGGGGAAAGTGGTACCGAAGGTCGCACGAGGTTTGCCTAGTTGGGGTATCGGTAAACGACGAGCGAATCGCGTATGGCACTACGGATCATATCATATTACAGCACTTGTGAGCGGCTCCCGGCTCCGCCCCATCTGATCCCGGCATCCAAGAAAGAATCCCGGGCAGATACCGGCCCGGTGTCAGGCATCAAGGTCGTCGTACGCGCAGCCTTGAGATTGGCTACCGTATCCGATTCTACAATTGGACACGTTCTATCATGTAATTACGAGTATCCTATACCGGTATCTGAACCGAGGAGGGAGTGATAATTTAGTGGAGTCTTGATGAGCATAAATCTCGATCAGCATGAAAATATGCCGGGCCACTTCCAGTTCCCTTCCGGAAACCCTCAACCCTAGAGTCCTCGGGCTTGAATCGGTCAATTTTTTCACTGTACCTGTAGGCCGCCGCAAACATCTCGCATCACGAGTACAGAGCCGCTAGTCCCAGAGCCTTCCGTCAAGATTCACATATCATTACGTAGGCGCCGATCCAATTGCGGAATTGCAGATGTAAAATTGAAACCCCCAAAGAGCATCAGACCTGTTCACTCCCCTCACAGGGTACGGGTCCCATGAGGGTTCTTATAATACATTGGGTTAATATTTGAAAGATCGCAAACATATCAGATACTATGGGTGGGAGGCCTTCGTACCTGTTGACCCTTTTCAGCCGCTGGGACCGGTTAATGCACCGCATTTATGATACCACCGACCCACTCTACCTGTGTGGTGGATAGTAGGTTGGTGGTTGGTGGCCTTGTACTGTACTCGAGTACAAGCACCGGTACGGTACTGTCGGGGTTTCCATTGCTGTCACAGAATTTTCTGCTTGGGAGGCGGCTCAAATATGTGGACAATCTTTACCTATAGGCGCACCTCAACCGTCCCAACTAGACATCGGTGAACATAGACTATAACACACCCCTTCAGCAAGCAGTTTAACAACGTTTTCTTCCCCATTCTGTTGGTCTCAACTCCTTCTGTCCTTCTGTGCGATCCTATTACGCTATTGTCCTTTCCGGTCGGTTCTCCACCTCGTGTTTTACGGTTCAGGGCCGGGAGCAAGTCAAAGTCCAAAGGCGCGGCCCAGTTCGAACACCATCCGGTAGTAGGAGTGAACCGATACTCTCCTGCACCGGTAGAAGTACTAGGGGCTTGGGCACTGCTACAAAGAAAGCCTTCGGTGATCGAACCCGGGGGGTTAGAAGGAGTGGGGTTGAACTGGTGCTGTGGAAAATAGGGAATGAGGGTGAGAATTCGCTAAGACTTTGTAAACAAAAGTAGTTGGAAAAAGCTGATTGAATTACCGGAAATTCAAGTCCAAGCAACGATCCTGTCCGCAAAATTGAACCCAACATGGCTGGTGCCTTGGGGGAACGGCAAGAAATTCTAAGTTAGAGGATTCCAAGATATTCGGTGGGCCAAGATTTTAAGCGTGGATCCGTGGAAACAATGCAATGGTGAAACGGTGAAAACGGATAATAGCTAAACGAAACGCCAAGAATTCACATCCGAAAACGATCACCCAGACTAGGAGCGGGGAAGCTCGCTTTTTCTTCTGCTAACTTAACATCAACTAACGGTAAATACGGGAGCATATATCAACCATGAAGTCCTGTTGTCCTTCCCTGGACCACCACACATGCCAATGCTATTTCTCGTATGTCTCCCCATCCCCTTGCTCTGGCTCCCGTGCTAACAAAGGAAAGACAAGCTCCCGCTGTCCATTGCCTTCGGGCATCCAACACTCTAGGCATCCGACCTTCCGGCTTGTTGAAACCTGTCGGTGCAGCCGTTGATTCTGTTGTTGTTTTACTTGTCTATCCTGCATTAGTTTTGAAGAAAGATTGGATAGAATAGAATAAGAAGAACACGTATTTTCAAGTAGTAGACAAAGAGATCGACGAGAATTGAGTAAATCACTTGGACGAAGATTATTTTCTCTCACAATTCTTAATCATTGCAAACCAGCTAACCATAGCCTTTATCATAGTTCTTGCCTCCTCCATTGCCGTGCCTGTGTGGATGAAAATTTTCACCTCCAGCAAGGGGGGAAGAAAATTTTCTTCCCCGAAACATGAAAGAATTTTCAACTGCAAGGAGAAAAAAAATCAAACAACTAAACAATATAGTGGAACAAAATAAGTACGCAGGGGACAATATTCCAACAAGTTTTGTTTCTGTTTTGTTTTATCAACAACATTTGGAACACTCTTGTTACCGACTACCAATAGCCTGTATCATGTGGAGGAAACCTTTTTCTAGTCGTCTTTTATGTCTTATTATCTTTCTAGGATAAAAGCACAATGTTCTTTCCTTCTTGCTTTATGCGAATCAATCAGTCTTTCATTTTGACCACTATCGCCGCTCTCTTATTTTGTCTTTATAGTCAATTTACAATCGCTCCTTCGTCATACCAAATCAAAACGGCTTCCCTACAACCTGTCCGCTTTCCTTCCGGTAGGTGCATTGATCCAAGACCTCTGCCCATTCCTGCAGCCTAAATGCTTTCCCGATAGCCAAAACATACCCGAAGACGAAATGCGTTCCAAACGCTATCCAACCGTCGCGGGGGCATGCTGAGCAACAGCTCGCGGTTTCCAACACCTAGTCCCAAGGCTTTGTGTCTTCTGGGAGCCTTGGACTTAAGGCACCGGTACCCGGGATACCTATCAAATTCGCTTGCATGATATGGTTCAAGTTTACTTTTTTTGCAAGGGGCCCTATTTAGAACCCCCCCTCTGGTTCGAAAGGCAAGTCCTAGCTCCTGTGATCGTTTTATTGGTGAAATCCCCCTTGTTTGCAACATTGACTCGGGTACGAGTACGTGTAGCGCACTATACTCCGGTATGGACGTGGGTAACTGGACAGCCAGTGGTTAGGGGTGTCAAAGTTTCTTGCTTATTTGTGCAATATTCATGCCAAATTCATTCTTGTATTTCCTACAATCTATTCCTCCAATCCCACTAACATATCAATCCAGAACAATAAAAATAATTTATCCCAACATCCGCAGAACTCTTGACCTGATCAGAAACTTGATAGACATGCGCCAAATTCATACCGCACCCGAAGCACCTGCGGGAGCCGCAACACGCTCTCCTCCCCCACCTCACTACCAAGGCAACGTTTTGTGGGAGGAGCAATTGTCACTATTCATCCCACCTCTTGTGCCAAAACCCGTCTTCCCATACCCCCGGAAGTTGGCGCCCTCACAGAAATGTCGGGCAATGGTACCGTTCCCGTATCCGTTGCTATAGGTTCAATAGTCACCAGCATACACGACACTCCCGGCTTTCGGCCGCGGATTGAACGAAACACCACGAGGTCCTCACCACGGCGGGGGGGGGGGAGCATATGCGGTTTACCCTGACTGCTCCATTTGCACCTAAGACAGGTGGTGGGGTAGTTTGTTTCTAAAACCGAACCCCTTCGTTCCACGAAAATGGTCCGGTCGAAATGGGTTCCTGCAACCACCGGGCCTCCCTCCACCTCCGTAGTGTAGGTGAGAAAGCCGAGGCCGAGACACCGTTTTTTTGCCCACCACGCTTTCCAATACGAGATCGCGGAATCATCAAAAGCTTCAAAGGCCCGGGTCGGCCTCCCAAGTATTCTACGCGCTGAGTCAGATGGAACCGTGTACCCAATATTGATTGGTGTGAAGTAAAAAGAACACTAGTAGAAGCACCAAAGCTTTCCACACGTAAGTGACTGCAATGAGGATATGTCACCTCCGCCATGACTACTCACCGGAGTAGGGGATGAATGACCACCCTGTTCGAGTTTTAGTGTAGATCTAGAGTGTAAGTTCTTATTCTCACATAAATAGCTGTGCTCAACTAGATCATTGGGATAACGAAAGTGAGAAATGGTTTTCGATGCGGAATTATTGGCACGAAGTGCGCTCACGGAACGATGTGGTCGCGGTGGTAGAAAGAAGAAACGTCGAGGGAATTCGAGGTTCATGACAATGCTCAAGCGAGAGAATAATAGCGCTAGGTAACAAAATAAGAATTGTTAACGTCCATGCAATTTATCTACGGCATACTTTAGAAATATATTGAGCGATATGGAATTTCCCAGCGTAGTGACTATCCTGAATGCAAGGAACTTGTAATGTTTTTTGTTTCTTGGCATTCCAGGCCTGGGCCGGTCAAGGATCGCTTCAGATATTGCATCGCAGGGGCTGATATCCACAAATGTATGGAGGTATCTGCCGGTATTGGAAGATATTTGGAAGAGCTTCATGATATATACAGCCATTTGTAGACAACTATAGGTTTGTGCTGATCATTGGTAGAATATTTGTTGGATGCTCGGAGCGATCCGAAAGCCAGCCGCCACCACCAGGGGCCCACAACACCTCTTGTCTTCGGGGGAGCCTGACTTATCAAGCCCAGGTCAGTCTCAATTTGACCTTGTATAACCGGGCTGCATATCCATAGGCTATCTTATCTACAGACCCCCTTTGCCCCTTGCGAGTACTCCTCCCACATTTTTTGTCTCTTCGTCTTCTTTCCTCCAGCCCTCCTCCCCCTATTTTCTCCTCTTCACTTTGTTCTGTTCTCTTCTCTTCCCGTTGATTATCTCTTCTATTGTCCTCGCTACTTCGCATGTCTTCTCAATACCTCTTTTCTTCTCTACAGTGCCCCCCGCGTCCGGACTTCTAGCCTCTTCCGTACCTTTTCAACAAGATAATGAGCTCCCACATATTCACTTGTAAGTACATCCTTTATCTCTATCTCGTAAACAGGAAGAATGAAAACAATTAATGCTTCCCTGAGGGATGGGTATAATCGGTCCGATGATAATGGACAAGTGGGGGCCGATCTTTCGCGATGCACTAGACGGCTTCTCATTGTCCCTAACCCATCGCACTACCCTTGGTATCGGAACCCGATGGGCGGTTTGCTGGTATTTTTAGGGTGCTACGGTGGCCAGTTAGTCCCGTGGGAAGGAGGTAGGCAGGTTTTTATTCATAGTCCGTCAGGTCCTGATGACAGTATGGCATTCGGTCTTTGGCTGAAGTTCGGGGAAGGCAAGTGTACTACATATTCTTTTAACACCTTAGAGTCTATAGCCGCAGAAGACCCAAGAGGAAAGCAATCAGGAAAGCTGCTAAGAAGTATGGAATAGACAGCTCGTGTGCAACTGGTATTGTGTATTGGTAATAATAGCACCCAATTGAGAAACAACCAACGAGTGACATCCTGTGATTGCAAGTGATAGAGGAGTAAATACAACGAGCTTATCGGATGGGAAGGCATATAGTTCTAAATTAAACGGGAAAAAAGCATAGAGTTAAAAGAAGGGATAATAGAAAACAAAGTCAAAGGGGGTAAAATTCCCCGCACGCCCGCCAGACTCAATTTCAGCTGATGGACACACATGGCCCCCGGCACGCCATTCTTAGTAGTTCCGTCCTGTCTGCAATCAAGCTCCCGTCGATCCCTACGGCCCACCACCCCGACAGAAACCAGTAACCCACACCCGTCACCTCTCGTCTAGCAAGCTACCTGAAATATGGTTAATTACATCGCAGGCCGGTCGCCCTTGGGGAAGAAAACCCTCCTCCTCAAATAATGGACAACACGGAGGGCAAACTGCTGCTGCTTCTCCCCTGGGTTTCCTGGAATTGTCTACTGTGTACGCGGGCGGACCAGGCCTGAATCATCGGGGAATCCTTGTGATCGCAACAGTGCGGCCAGCTTGCGGGCGCTCGACCGGGTTTTGGGATGGTCTGGTCCAAGTGTCCTCTGGCGGCCCTCCAGTGCACGCCGACGCATGGTCTCGGATTCGGTATACTTTCCTTGACGTTCTAGCACCGTAGCCAGGTTGCTGACACTTGTTAGAGCGTACGGGTGGTCTGGTCCATGGATCTTCTCATACCCCTTCAGTGCACGACGGTTCATCATCTCTGATTCGCTATAATTCCCTTGACTTTCCAGCAGTATAGCCAGGTCGTTGGCACTTGTCAGGGTGTCCGGGTGGTCCGCTCCAAGAATCTTCTCACGCCCCTCCAGTGCACGTCGATTCATCGTCTCGGATTCATTGTACTTTCGTTGGCGTTGGAGCACCGTAGCCAGGTTGCCGACACTTGTTAGAGTGTACGGGTGGTCTGGTCCGTGAATCTTCTCATACCCCTTCAGTGCACGACGGTTCATCATCTCTGATTCGCTATAATTTCCTTTACTTTTCAGCAGAATAGCCAGGTCGTTGGCACTTGTCAGGGTGTCCGGGTGGTCTGCTCCAAGAATCTTCTCTCGCCCCTCCAGTGCACGTCGATGCATTATCTCGGATTCAGTGTACTTTCCCCGGTCTCGTAATACGATACCGAGGTAGTCGACAGCCTCGAGGACGATGAGATTATCTCGACCAAATGATACTTCAATATCCACTAATAAGTCCCGCAATATCTTCTCGGCCACTTCTGCCTTTCCTTGATACGCGATTACCGCCCCCAGCAGTATAACCCTTCTCAGACCCTGCTCAGCCCACGCATACTCTTTACTCTTATATCGCAGCTCAATACATGGACGGAATTGAATTTCTGCGTCATTGTAGAAACCCATTTCTAGAAAACACTGTCCTAGGCGAAAACATAGCTCTTCGGCAATGGGATCCCGTGAATCTTTGGTCACCGCAACTGCATGCGGAATGTATGCAGAACCAACGTATCTCCGCCCGTCCACACCCCCAGGGAACAACCTTGCAACCACTCCCAGAGACTTGGCCCTCCACTGATCCAATGCTTCTGTTGGTAAATACACCTGGAGAGATAGTTGGACCAAACGGTGCAGTTCGTAAAACGTCTTGTCCTTACATTCGGCCGCCGTAATTAGCGAAAATCCTAATAGATTTCCAATGGCCCGGCGAAACTTAATTGGATCATCCATCCCTTCCAAACCGCATTTACTCAATAACTCCTCGGGGATGTTCTGACGATCAAAGAATGCAATCAGACGCAGGAGATCGGCCGCTAGGGGCATCTGCACTGTGATTCGGTTAAAGGTGATGAAGTACGTAGCTAGGATGCTTTCGGTCATATCCGCCTCTCGTTGGATATCACAAAACGGTTGTGAAAGCAGTCTCTTCGCATGATCGTCGCTCCCCCGAAACATAGTCCAGTAAATGGAAGGCGGTGTCCGGGTTTCGGTCATGAAAGCTGCTGCACCCACGATAGCCAGCGGGACGTGATGTATGGAACCCAGGATCATTGTGATCGCTGCTTTATCTTCCTCACTCAAATTGTTCCGGCTACCAAAACGCTTTGCAAACATCGCCTGCGCTTCATCCTCGTCCATTTTTCCGACCTCAATTCTTTCGCAATCCTGCCAGGATGCGACCCGGAGACATCTAGTGGTGAATATTAGGGTACCCCTCTGTCCCTGCGGTGAGAATTTGGAGATGGGACCGTTATTCCCAATGAAGTCCTCCTCGCCACTGTCCGGACCTTCGAGCCACCTCTTTATGCTCGCCAGGAGTTGTTCTTGGTCCCCCTCGGCGCTGGCAGGAAGAATTCGAACATATTCTGCAATAGCTCTGAAACCCTCAATAAACTTTACTACCCCACTCCCCTGCACCCAGAAGACATCACTATCGCTCTTGCTCGCAAGCTGGTGAACGTATTCGAGGGCAATCTGGGTTTTCCTAAACAATGTTAGTAAGTCCCCGAAATAAGAATAATGAATACATACCCAGATCCGCCTAATCCATGAAGCGCGACCCGGCGGTGGCCGTTACCCTTGGAAACCCTCTTTATCGATTCAATGAGAGCTTTACGGCCCGTGAACTTGCTGTTTCTGCGATAGGGGATTACCCGATAAGGCCGAGGAGCCCCTTCTAGTTGTAACAACAGATCAGCCACTTGCCGGAAGTCGCTCGGGAAAGTTTGTAATACCTGTGCCTTCAGCTCTAAGCACACATCCATGATATACCGGTATCCGTCCGAAATTGGTAATATTGGTTACGTTATTATTACTACCAATAACATTATAATCCCCTGAATTCCCGCTGTAGTTCTCGCTGATATTGGCTTGCATTTTTCTACGAGGATTATTAGGCTGCTGCTTCTTGTTTTTGAAATCACGGGCGTTGAAGGAGAGAGGGACCACCGACCCACCAACCGCACGACAAGTATTCGGCTCATTGTAGGACCGTTTTCGGAGGTCAGATAGGAAAGCAACAATATGTCGCTCGCGGATCTGAAGCGGGAAAGGTAGCCTATATATCGCTAACCGAGGCGATTTCAAAACCCCCCCGCTTGCCCTAAAACAAGCCAATAAGCATGATACGGCAGAATGAGTAACAGAGGACCCGACCTTGGATGTCGAGACGAATTATTCCGTCGTTTTTGAGGCCGCTATAAGTTGGAATCCCAGCTCGCGCTACGTGTATTCAGTAGCGCTGAGAGATTTGGCGAAAGGACACCGAATGGGTATCGGAGCGATGGCGTCTCTGGATGCCAGCGAGGATTCGGCCAGAAATAAGTCCTAACCTAGCATCTCGCGCTGCGGGGAACCCGGGAAAAGCAAACATAATAGTATTGTTGCCCCGGAGCTAGACCTCCGGGGGGTTGCGAAATGTACTCGAGTACCGGTACTCGTATAATGCTGTGCCGATAGCGGTAATTGGCTGGAATCCTTCCAAGGTCTGGACAGCCGGGCCCTTGGTGCAGGTCTCACTACGCCGCGGTTGTCATGAGGCGGTGGGTTGCGCCATGCAGCGATCCCCTAACTGGAGAGAATTCCCGACGAAATGGTGCCGGCGCGCGAATAGAGATCTTCGGCCCGTCTTTGGAAGAAGACTTGGTCTCTTACGGTACGAGACCACCTTCTTTTCCTGATAAAAGGCTTCCCTATTCCCAAGATGAAACAAGCACATAACCCTAAAATCGATCGGATATAATATCTAAACTCCCCCTTGGCACATAAAAAATCTGAGTAGGCAGGATGCAACACTCCTGCATTCTACCGATCATAATGTTGTGATGCCCTCGAAAGCCAGCCACCCCGTGTCTGCACCCGTGACGCCACTGGGCGCATCTGTGGGAATTTCCAGCGGAATCTGAACTAGTACTGTGAGGGTGAAAAATGTGTTTGCTTAGTTTTCCTTTTTTTCTCTTGAGTTCTGGGTTTTATATTGTTGAGTTAGGTTTGTTTGAGCAGTTAGGGTTTGGTTGTAACTGGCCATGGTGGTGTGCTTGGACCAGAGAGGACCTAAAGGGATTTTTTTCCTTCCTCCCTCTTCAGATAAGAGGCGAACCCAACGAAGAGCTGCGGGGAAGAACTTGACAAAAACAACGAACGGAAACAAAGTCAAAAACGAACACAAAAGCCTGTACCTACGTCTGATAATTCTTCTTTGGTTGTTCTTTCATTTATTTGCATCAATTGATCTGCACGGACCAAATTCGGAACTCTGTTTCTTTTGTGAGGTATCGATACCTGTTTGGTTTTGTAAGTGTGTGAAGCTTACCCAATCTGTGTGTTTTGTTTTCCGACCCCGATCCGTCCCTTTCAGTACTTGTACCAAAGCTCGCACGAGGCTGATGCAACGAGGGTAACCAATTAGTAAATTGCGAGTAAATGACTAGCGGCTCCATGAATCCAGCATACCGGAGTTGGCCATGCTCTCCAAAGGTGCGGAGCATCTCTCCATTGCATGGTTCAAGAGGTGCTATGATAAGCACTTCGTACCATGTTTGCCTCTGTAGCGAGGATACTTACCGCCTCGCGGTTGACACCAAGAGGGTCCAGATCCCACATCCGCATAACTTCAACCCGGCTTTGGCGGAGTCCGAAATTCCAAATACAATCTAGCCGATCGCAGGGTTTAGCCCTATCTGCCTACCGTGTAAAACGTTAAATTCATGTAGCGTGACTGGCGATTAGGTATACCCAACCTGGAGAACAATACATCAAAACCACAAACAGAATTATATCATGACAAAATGTCACTCGACATGCTATCTTCTCCAACCTCTCCGACATACAAGCAAGGTTAACCACCGTTACCCATAACCTCCGGCACATGCAAGAAGGGAGAATCCAATTTCACTTGTCTTCCTTCTCTTGCCTTCTCTTCATTAGGCACTCCACCTCTACCGCCACCATCACCCCTCTCTCACACCTCACTCCGTTCATGCCTTCCGCTCCTTTAGAAAGTCTGGTCTCGGTCCATTATACCCGATCTGCCAATTCACACACACACTCCCTCAGTGTATGAAACCGTACTTTAAAGAACCCCATCTTTTGACGGTACAATTTTCTAATTCCAGAAAACAAAATAAACCAAAAAACAGATCTATCCTGTCTGCCTGAGTCCTTGGTTGCCCGGGCCATGAAGGGCTATGACTGTAGTGCCCACTCTACAGCATAATATACGAATGGAGGTCCTTCATCTAGCAACCTCGTGTCGACTCTCACGGCATGAGAACCTGTATCTAATGCACCCCTCAATACTGCTGCTTGTGCGGGAAGTGGGGACTGCACACCGATTACTCCAACTACCCTGCCATTACCTGGATGATGGAGGAGCAACCGCCCAAAGACAAGGACCATTATCAGGTAATGAGGAGGCCCTGCCGGTGGTTCTGATTGAAGAGCACGGGTTACTGAAATGAGGATATGAGTTGCATTTCCCCCCAGCCCCCCCCCCTATTGGTGTGGGGGGTGGTTTTCCAGGTGCTCTCGGTCGAATGATTAGTTGTGTGGCAGGAGATTTGCTCGGCCTAGTGGGTTCTCGCCACACCACCCGAGGCATCCCCTGTACCAATCATCCATATCCCTACCAGCAACTCACTCAAAACCCCTTCCCTACTACTCGCGGCTACGTCTTTGTCATTCAAGCCGGCAGTTCCCTCACATCCACACCTACCATCGCCACCACCACCGCGGCTGCCGATCAAGGAATAGAGTGGTCAGAAATCAAGGCTCGGGATGGCTGCAGTGATGTGGATGTTATTAGGGAGGGCTGTTGGGAGTGCAGGAGCTATGCCTACCCCTGGCAGTTGAAATTGGATCCACTGAGTACAATGCAGACAAAGTTTCCTGTCTTGCAATAGTGTTGAGCTGCTGTCAAGGACTTGTAGTACCGGATAAGGAAGGATCAGCTGTTTGACCGATACACTACAGGCTCCAAGAATATCTAACCATCCATCCAGAGCTTTTCCTGCCCCTCCATTCGACAACACCGAGACCCGCTTGACGCAACTCCATTCCCTGCAGACAATGGCCCTTTTAGCCTCCGATATTGGGAGTACTCAACACATACCCTTCCTGGAATATTCCACCCCATACTGGAGAACCCACGTGAACAAAGAGCCCTCAGATCTCAGGGAAACACCGGGACTTTAGCTGTTTAGCCGCTACAAGGTTCAAGTATCCATTGAACTACTCATGTCATCCTGCACCAGCCACACTCATTCCGTGCTCTCAACCATCCAGGGCCCCTGTAGGGTCCGATGTAGGGCCTGCCAAGAGCTGGGGATGGGACGGGACGGCAACATATAGTCCGTCCTCATTGTTGACCTTCTAGGACGGCCATCATGAGGAAGGACAATGAGCCCAACAATCTGTGACACCATCTGGTAGGGGACAGCAGGTGACTACATAGGACCACCGGGGATTGTAGGGGATAGTGGGGGATGGTGGGGAAGGACTGTGGATTTATGGGACAGCAGGGGACAGCGAGTAACTGTGGTTGATGGCAGGGAACTGTCGGTCGGTAGTCCTTTGCTCTTACGTGTCGAGCAAGTTCAAGAAAAGACTGGACTGGACAACACAATGCTGTCCGTCCTGGTCCTTCACTCCTAGCCGTTAGGCATGTTCTGAAAATGACCGGACAGGATGACAAAATGACGTCCGTCCTGGTCCTGGTCCTGAACAGACGGACCGCCCTGTTGCGATCACTGCCCCCATTGGCCATAAGTGGTGATTGAGCGTGGCGTATCTGAGGTATTTACCCAGTTGAAGACAGATGCTCGCTGGTGGTAAAATGAACCTCAGGAGATGTCAATATCGTTCTCATCTTCGCAATCAAGCAAGCGAACAAAACAATCCATATTGAAAATCCAGAAATGGTACAGGTACTGAACGCCCATGCTATGTGTGCCAGTCCTAATGATTTTGTGATGACGCCTGCACAACCCGCCTAAGTCGATATCTTATGGCCTGTTTCCACTGCTGGTTCTTTGAAACGAGTGATCCCAACCGATCAGTTCGTCCAGCTTTGAGTACGGCGGGACCGGCCCAAGCTGTTTCATGGATGGCCGGCCCGGACTGAGGGAAAGCGGCTTTTCCAAACCAAGGCCAGGCCCAGCCCGGGTCACCCGCAGGCCAATGCTTCAAGGGCTCAGTGTGTTTCTCTACCAAGAAATATTTCATTATTTAACAGGACTAACTGTTTCATGCAGAATATACATATTCACCCGGGGTGGCCAGAGAGTTGTGCGAAGAATAGTATAGTGTCTTGAGGTAAGGCAGCATATTTCAGTACAGCGGGGGGGGTTCATCGCTGGATGTCATGCATTTACCCCAAGCGAGATCCATAGCGTCAATGCACGTCGCTCCTGATATCTCATCCCGAGTGATTAAAAGTGGAAAGCCTGCAGGCCACCCATAGATCTCTTCAGATTACCTGGGCATCTGGGGGCTTTTCCCAGAGAATTTCGACCGGACGGGCCCATGCTTTTCAAAACCAAGGCGGGACTGACTGGACTGCTGAGCTGTAGTCCGGACTGTGGTCCGGACTGGCCACTTGGAATCACTGTTTGAAACTCGAGTTTCTGAAAGGTTTCCTGAGGCAGCCCGTCCAAGACACCTTGGAGGGTGACATCTTTTT